ATCTCGAGGTTTTGGTTTGATGGGTTTATGAGTCTTTTGTCTATGTAGATTCTATCTAGTCGTTTATCACCGGAACCATTTCTGTGTGAGAAAGTGTTTCTGGTTAGTTTGTAATCTATATCGTGCAGATTGTTGAGATTAACCAGAGACTCTATTAATAAGCTTAGGCTTTCTTCCTTCAGATTTTTATCGGGATGGTTTAGTACCTCTTTGTAATCGGCGCAATTGAAGTCGCCAATGATGATTTGTAGTGGTATCGAATTGTTAATGTTTGTGTTATTGTATAGGCTATTATAAAGGTCAAGCAGTTGGTCAGCAAATTCATTTCTTTGGTTCTTATCTGCTGGTGCGTATATTGCGAGTAGTCTTATAGTATTTGATGATATTGTTATATCTGCGATGGTAGCTCTACCAGTGATAATAGCTATTTGTTTGATACTAATTATGTTTGGGTTGTGATTGACGATGGCCACGCCGGTTCCCATTCCATTAACATTTGTTAGTGAACCTTTATGATCGTCGTGGAATTTCGAATAAACTGCGTTTAGTTCATTGAGAATTGTGATAGTTGGATGGTTTTTGTTGTTAGGTAATGTATTAACCACGTTTTCATTTTTTAAAGTGTATGTATCTTTGGTACCACAGCCACCGATATTCCACTGGTTGATTTGGAGTGTAACCATTTACTTTGTTTTGGGAGCAGGGAAAGTACTGCTTCTAGAACGAGTTGGTGGTAGATTTGGGATTGCGGTGGTAGTAGTGGTTTTTTTTGTTGGTTTTTGTTGTGACTCTTTATTGGCCACAATTGGAATTGACCCGATTGATATTTGTGGATTATTATTTTCAACTGATTTGGCGAAGTTAGCAATTGTTATTTGAGTCAATGGTGATTTGTTTTTGTTTTGGATTGAGGAAAAAGTTGGTGTTTTTGGTGAATCCATTGAATCGAGGGTAGCTCTAATTTTTGATTGAATTGGTGAGAAAATGGAGTCACCCAATGGAATATGATTTTTCTGGTCATCGATTGGATTTGCAATTGGGGCGGGTTTTTGTGTGTTTGATGTTGATGTTTGGACTGTATCCTTTAGTACGGCATTAGTGACATCTTTTGGGTTATTGTTGGTGGTGGGTTCTTTTGGGTGCTTTTGAGATTTCTCTCTG